TGAAGTTGGTGAAAGATTAAGGTTTTGGTAAAATTTTAATGAAATAATCTACAAAATCTCTCAAACGCAGCATCTACTAGACTCCATGCAATTTGCTTACCAAGCATCCAAATTGGTGGAAGAAGCTTTTGCAACTCTGTAGCATCCTTTGCACATTAACTTGGAAACTTCAGGCTAATTCAAAAAGCTCAAAATTTTATTTGCTGACTTTTCTTCTGCATTTAACAACATTGAGCCCAGTACTTTAGCACAAATTTTAACTGAAGAAATTTTACTTGAAGATGGTCTGAACTCATGGATTGTTGATTTTCTTAGCTGCAGAATACAGCAGGTCAGAGTCGGCTCGTCACTCTCTGACAAGGTGACCACTTGCATAGGAGCAACACACAAACTCCTGCATCAGCACTTTTCCTAATAAGCATCTTTTTAAGTATGCAGATGATACCGCTCTGGTCATTCTTTTATATGACAGGGAGACAAACTTGACTTCTTCATTGACAGGTGTGAGAAGTATAACCTTATCCTAAATGTGTCCAAAACAAAGGAGATGTCAAGTGATTGTTGAAAAGCACAATCCCCTAAAGCTACTCTTTTATATGGGGAAACTATCACAGAGTTAAGTACCTTGGCATTGTGCTCGACCACAAACTCAAATGGGACACGGACTGACAGATTCAGTCCCAAAATTGACACTAAAAAAGGCAAACAGCATTGGAGGTGCTCAGGGACACCCCCTTGCCTCTTCATTTGAACTGTTGCCTTCTGGATGCTCCTCGGGTTACAACAGATTTCTTAATGAAATGTCTTAATGAATAATGATTGGGTACGGTCACAAGTCTCTGTGTCTGAAATTGTGTTCATTGTTGTCCGTTTTTCTTGTCTTTTGTTGCCAAAATGCCATCTGATTTCTGCTGCAAACAAACAAATAAACATGCCTTTCCTGCAACACTGAGATATTGTAGGAAAATGAACTGTATTTTTAATAAATAAATAAATAAGCAAATATAAGCAGCTGTTTGCATGTTTCCTCATTATGTTTCTAGCAAAATGTATTTGCTGTTGCAAATTAGTATCAAATAAAAATAACTTGTAGGAGATGTTGAGTTTAATGTGTAAATACAACTGGAGTTTATTCCCACATGGGCTGCTGTGTACGTCTGTTGTGTCAAATATGAGTTCATTTTACCAGTGCCATGGATTCTTATAATTTCCTAGAAAATAACTGATTTGTTACATTAATATGATTTTCCTTGAAATGGTATGGGTAATTTGGCAATAATGATGATGAAATGAGACAGTGTGCAGTTGGCACATGTCCAAGTAATTAATCCCAATACATCATTGTAACATAGCAAAAAGGGGTGTTGACTGAGCACACGGAGGTCTGCAGAGCATACACACCAACAAATATGAAAAATATTTAATATTGATTGGGTATTTATTAAATGAATTTAAACTGTGAATGCAATGAGAGTGAAGTGCCATTTAATTTATTTCTAGAGGAAACTAACTGGACCATAACCCCCTTACCCTGGGTGGGACTTTGTTATGCTATGCTATGTATACTTTGTTATACTGCTTTGTACTAAGCTGAATTATGATTGGCAGCTACACCAAGGTCATCATAGTGTAATACAGGACCTGATATTTATTTATGTATTGATCTTACAGCCTGCCAAATATTATGCGACAAACCTGCAGCCATAAATTTGAACACAGTCAGACTGAGCTGTCTTACCTTAAACCAGGTGATTTTACTTCCCTTCTGCTGTGCAAAAACATCCACATTATTAAAATCCAAGGCTAATCCTTTCACTGTCCTGGCTCTCAGATTCTTTCTCCATGCATCACAACTTGAAACCAAGCTCTGTATTTGAGTGTCCAGCACTTTAAAACTCAGTGGATTAGAAAAATACTGTAAATTGGTGTGCACTGAGCTACAGTCCAGTTTCACATCCTGCTGCTCAGAGAAACAAAGACCCAATTCAGATGCAACAATGGTGACTCACTAGAGGGCACAAACACGGACATCTTTCAGTTTTAGTAGGTTTCTGAAACTTATCAACTTATATGTGCGCTGAAATAGCCTGTAGTAAAAAGTCCTGTCACTTTTTTTACCGATGAGTTTACAGTGGTTACCGTTCTACAAACATATTGGAGCTGCTAATGCTGGAATTTACCCACTAATACAAACTGAACATGCCTTACTGCTGCTCCTTCACATTAAAAGCAGTTACTTGACAAAACTCTGGGTCGCTTTTATTGTGAAGCAGCCATGTGAAATGCAATCTATTTGTCATTGACATTAGCGCCAAGTAAAAAATAGATCAATATATTGCTGTGTGGGGTGGCCATGACCAGCACTGGCCAACCCCTGGCTTTGCCACTGCTTACATCTTCCTGGAAAGAGATTTACAGGACCCTTTAAACAACTTTTGAACTCTACAAAAATTCTCACATGCCCATATGTACTTTGAAAGAGTTTTTGGTCACATAACTGTGTTAAGTCGGTGTGCTGAGGGTGCTGCAGCAGCCCTACCTATACACGAGGTGTATTTTTATTGTTACAACCTACCTCACCCTACAGTACCTCTTGTTTTAATAATTGTGAGCAGTGCAAGTTTTCCTGATGGTCTCCTTTTATGTTTTGTGTAGTGTCCTGTAGGATTTTGTCTGTATTGATCTGTTGTTGCTGGAAAGTTTGGACTCTCCTGCATGAACTGAACACCGTGCTGCCAGTGTAATTATTGTGAAGTAGATTTCCTAACTCTGTTGTTTGGCCTACATACTGTAAAATCATATGTTGGGATCATTTACAGTAGAATAAGGACTCCATACTGCACTCTGCGTCTGCTGAACTAATGCATTTTGTCTCCCATCTCCTATACTGTACATCACTTCTTTAAGAGATCTTTTCATGACCAGTATGAAAAAGAGAAACAATCATATTGAACATACAGGTGGGGATGTAACTATTGTTTTAAATCATCTTTACTCTTCATCGAGCAAACAAAATATAAACCTCTGAACCCTGATGTTGAAATATAAAATACACACTAAATCAAATGAAATACTATTTAAGTTGTTTTTCTCTCTCCTTGGATCTTGTTGATGGTTTGTTTAACCTTCATTTTCCCACAGGCGTGTCACTTTTGCTTTCATCAGAAAGCCTATTTGTGTGTGGTTTTCTGATGGGAAACAGAGAAAATCTGTCTGTTGAGCAAAGCACAAACTATTCAATTAAAGGCCTAAAAATTTCAGGGTTTCTCAACATATTTTCAGCATCCTGCTTCTGAACTGCAAGTTCTGAGTTTTTCAGCCTAATTTCCCTGTGAATAAGTTGCCTGTTATACTGCTATAGTAAGTGTTGTGCCACTTGTCCTCCTGCATACTCAACCCTCAGCTCAACCACCTCTTGTGTTCTCTCGCTGCCTCCTCTGTCTAGAATTCACCGTTTTTTCCTCCAAAACTCTGTGTTCAGTATTCCTCCTGCTGCCTTCCGATCTACACCGGACTGACTTCTCAGCCAACTCCATTACAGCCTCCTTATACATCTCATCTTCTCCTGTCACTTACAGTGGTGGAAGGTAACTACTCAGGTACTGTACCTGTAGCCTGAGTATTTCAATTTTATGCAACTTTCTCCTTCTACTCCACTACATTTGTCTGACAGCTTTAGCTACTTTTCAGATTACAGGTTTTAATAGCCTCTGCCTCTCCCAGCAGAGCTATAAATTCCCCTGAGGGAATCGCTTCCAGGACGCCAACCACAGACTCCAAGAAGTCCGGGTACTCTGAGCAGCTGTCTGGTGCACAAGCACACACAACAGAACCTTCCCCCCCAGATAAGAGACTCATAGTCACAAAGAGAAGACCCTCTAAGAAAAGTCCAACACAGCAGTGCTCAGCCAGTGTGAGTATGTGCCGCGCAACTCTGGAGAAGGAGAGTCCAGCCTATTTCCAGGTGTTTGGTTCCTAACCCGTGCTATGTGTAGAGGTGAGCCCACTGGCTCTGGCTCCTTCCCTGCCAAAGAAGTGACATTCCACATAGCTAGGACCAGTCTGTGATGCCTGGAGTAGTTTTTCCTGCAGCCTGGCTTACAAAGCACCCGACCCCAGTGCCTATCCCTGCTGGTGGTGGGCCCACAGGTCAGCAGGAAAATGCATCGTCACAAAAACAGGCTGTTTTTTAGGGAGTCGTGTTTCTCACAGGACAGCAATGCTGCAAATACATGCCGATCTTATAGACCATGATGCATTGCTGCAGATTAAACTACCCAACAGGATATAAAGGAGTTAAAATGAGCAGCTGTAAATGAATGCAGCAGGAATATTAATCCAGAAACATCAGATTTAATAGAGAAACATTGATTGGAACATTTTACTTACTCTTTATACTGCAAATTTAGCTGATAGTACTTACCTTTTTTGTTACTTAAGTAAGGTTTTGAATGCTGAACTATGTGTAGGGGAGTATTTTCACAGTGTGGTATTAGTACTTTACATTTCTTCCACCACTGCACTGGTGTCTGCAGATGGTCTGTATGTCCAGCCCTCATAACTAAACAAAATAGGTCGATTGTCAGTTGTCCCAAAATAACATATACTGTGTGAACGTTGGAAATGACCAGTCCAAGCGACAGGCGTACTGGACTTTAAGTACGTTACCTAAGTCACGTGACTTCACTCAACCTGGTATGTCATAAATGTAATGTTGTTGAACTCCTAAACTCTGTAGGAGCTGTTGTCTAAGCGGTGCGCTCTGTTTAAAAAGAGCATCTGATGTTGTGAATATGAAATTCTTCATTCCTCCAACACAAAATGCCCCCCACATTTCAAACGCAACTTCTTAACTTGTTTTGTTGTACCGTGTTAATAAACTCTGTAGATTTACGACAAAAGTCCGAGCTTGAAGACAACACAGACGCAAACAGAAACAAACCTCTACTGACACAATTCGTTCATTTTAACATGGTGTTCTTCTGTGTGTGTGTTCTTACCCACTGAAATCGTCCACACCGCCATGATCTTGATGCGGGCCTTGGTGTGGGAGTTGAAGCGGCTGTGGTAGATCGGGTTTCGAATGCCGATGTAACGATCCAGAGAGATGGCGCAGAGGTGCATGATGGACGCTGTGGAGAACAGGACATCCAGGTAGATCCATATGGGACAAAGGTCAGAGGGCAGCGGCCACCCATAATCTGCACAAGTGGACGGATGGAAAGGTGAAGAGAGAAAAAAATGTTGTGTAAATGTGTTGTTAGTATCTGGGATCTGATCTCATTCGATGCTGGTACACCTCTTACTGACATTTGTGGCTTCTGACATTTCCCACAAAACCTTTGAACAACCCTTTCAAGAGGCTGAAAACATACAAATGGTTCTGGTTATTGTGACTGCTCCTGTGTCTGCCATTGTGACCACACTCTTTACACAAAACCCAACCAGCTTGTCTGAATTGCTCACACTTCTCTTGTTGCCATAATAAACCCCTATAGTCTCTGGTCTACAGTGATGCTGCTCACTGATCCTTCCAGCTCAAGTACTTACAAGTAACATGTTCCTGGTTCTATCACTGTCAGCTTCAGGTCATGTTGTGCCCACAAGGTCCAACACCATCCAACAGGTGTGCTTGTTTAAAAACTTAAAAAGAGTTTTGATATTTTAACGCCTGTCTAAAGAAGAAAAGCTGATGTATTGATTAAAAGTGCAGCGGAAACAGACTTCATGTTTACTGTAAACGCTGCCGTACATGGAGCAGTGACTTAAAGTGACAATTGTTTGATGAAAACACCACATAGCATAACGCAATCCTAATAATTCTGTATGTTTTTACCAGAGTAATCCTGTAGTTATTGTATGTTGACACTTTCCCACTCAACTCAACACCTGAGTTGGGTTGAATGTGGCTGTGACGCTGAGTTCATTCAGTTCATTTGTCTTCCGTCACAAGTTATATATCCATTAAACCATTTCACACATTTAGGTGCATATTTTAAAACATTACAGCTAAATGAAATGCAGGCATCAACAACTTTAATGCAAATTCATTCAGAAGGATGCAAGGTGACCACAACATTAATGGAGCTGCAGAAACTCTGGAAATGAGCTCTATAGATAAAAGCTGCCTCGTCTTGTTGTTCAGAATATAAACAGCATTTCTGCCTCTATTCATGTTATTCAGAATATTTGTATAATGTCAGTGTGCATGTTGTTGCTGGATCCCACCTGAGATGGCATTTAAGTTAATTAATGGATGGATGTCTCTTCTGAACCAAATGTACCCTGTGGTGTTTTTATGAGTTGCATGCAACCATGCCAGTGTTACTGATATGTACAGTATGCACAGCCTTTTTTTTCTTTCTGGTGGAGTGGAGGCCTGTGGTAATAAGTGACAGCAGGACTTTGATCTTTTATCACATTTTATAACATGCCACATAAAACTTTTGGGGATTTTTCAACTTTGTTTTGTTTTTTACAGGGCATAAAACAGATGAGTGGAAACGGGATTTAACTTTCTGTCGGAAAAGAGTAAAATGTCACAGGAAATTATCTTGGTTGTTGCCTATTTATTACAAATGAAACAAGAACTGTAAACATGAAGTCACATGTAATCACAGGTTAACTCATGTCAACTGGCACCTGATGTGGCTGGTTGTGTTCCCTGGTTTCACAAAGAGCTCATCAACACACAACTGATTTTACATAGTAGTCCAGACTCTAGCTGTACCTCGTGTGATTAAAAAGTGAGAAAGAAATGGGACACAAAGTGGATTCTTGTGTACATAGAGGAGCTGCAAGCAAGACTTTATTTCCTAACATTTCTTCAACACAACAAACTCCTGGGGGTTACCGGGAGTCCCTCATAGGGATCCTTTCCATTATGTTGTCAGACACCTTGTGTAACAGTCGGAGCCTGTCGCTGGCAAAAAGAAGCACTTTTTGTGGACGCCATTTTGACCAGCGCAATCGCCCCGAAGGAATACCGACCACCAACTGCACGGATTCAAAACATTTTGTACATACTAGTCACTTAAACACCAACATATGTGGAAAAATAGAGCCCAGGTTTAACCATCCTCTAATTAACCTTTAAGACTTTACTGCCCTCCACAATAAGGCATTTCCCCTTAATGTCAGCGACTTTACGATGCAATTAGAAATCAAGTTACGTAGAAACAGATGCAGAAACAGATCCAAGTTCCTCACTCAGTGGTGAGTTTAAAATAGATGGCCATGGCCAATTTAAAATCTCTCCCCCGCATTAATGGAATGAGTGTTTGTTTGACCTTTAATTAAATGCTGCATGTAAGCTATGTGCTGTTTTTGTTTGCATGTCGGCTATGCCTTTTTTTTTCTGTCTGTTTGGGAAAAGTCACTGAACACAAAACAGAGCCGAACTATAATTAATTATTTCCTGTGTTTTTAGCTTTAGAGCTGGTCTTTTTCATATGAATGGACACTAATGACACACTGGAACAACATTTGTTTTCGTCCCTGCTGCCGACTGCATTTGTTTTAATGCCACTGCAGTCTGTAATAAAAAGCATTAGCCATAGTGATGGTGCTCATGGACTGGTTGCCTGTTCGTAGCCTCTAAAAAGCTAATTACACAGTGACCACACGGTGATAAATGGAATGAGTCATACAGATGGAACCTGGCCCGAGGCTTTAAAACATGCCTCGGACTGAGAACACGCTCCAGATACGTCCACGCTGTCTGAGCTGCAGGTGCACAGGCTGCAACTACACATCCACGTCACATGTCACACACACACACAGTCCTCTCCCTCATGGCCATCGAGCTGCGCCCACAGCAGCCATCTCTAAATATAGTCCTGTAATTTGGTCCAGAAATCACTCAGCTGCAGAGGGAAATGACATCATAGGATATACATTTTCGGGCATATTAGTCTCAGCTATTCAGTTTTCACCAGTCTAGGCTGTAGTTTGTCTGTTCCTATGGTGACACGGTAACATTTTCTATTTTTAGATTTTGGACTGTTGGTGGTTCAGGATCAGCAAAGTCTCTGCTCTGGTGGAGATAGGTGGCCGTCTAGGAGTTGCCGCTATCCATGCTAGTTAAAAAGGAACCCCCAAGGCATTAAATATGGACTCATGGTGAAGACTCCTTGGCGCCAATTTGTAACGCACTGGGAAGCCCCTTAGAGTCATTGTTCAACGCACTAGGGGAAGCCCTGTAGTGTCATTTATGGACGCTACAAGCAGGTGTAGGCATAATTAACAGAAAAGTCAGAGTAAGGAGGTGGCTGGGGTGGACAGGTGGGCCAAAAGCTGTACTTTCACTCAGGAGACCGGTGTTCGTTTCCTGTGTGAACCAAAATCAACATGCCTGTCCCAAATATTGGCAGGGTGACTTCAGTGATTTAAGCAAATAAAGTTTTACAGTACATAAATTAAGTAACGTAGTTAACAAAAACCATGATGTTTGCCTAAACCCAACAAGTTTAGTTGCATATTTAGTTTTGCTAACTTGACCGCGGGAGCACTACATGTCCAAAAACAATGCTAAAGGGTAGCCAGGGCGTTACAAAGTGACACCACGGTGTTGACCAAGCATACTGTATATATGTGACGAGTTGGAGTGAGAATGTGTTGCTGATGAGATAGTGATGATCAATGTGTCCATCTGTCTTTGCCCCGCGTCTCCCTGATAACTCCCGGACCAACTGCGTCATCGCAATCTACGTTGCCAAGTCACCTCAACAAAGATGCGGGTGTTGATATTTTAGATCTGCTATTGAAGCTCTGTTGCAGCAGCACTTACCTGACATCAGCTGAGAACGAATGGATGATGAAAATCAAACCTATTTTTCTTTCAAAATAAGATCAACACTTTACTTTTTGTCTCCACAGCTGGAATACACTCTGAACACACTGTCCTGCTTCCTCAGCGCTAACACAGCAGCGTGAAAGCACACAGCGAGTCAGCTCAAATTAGAAAATTCAAACTCAAGCCGGCAGATGAAAAAACACCCATACGAAACTGGGGGATGTTTTGCAGCCAAGGTGTCACCACTTCCCCAGGACCCTCCCCCTGAGAGTGTTGACAAAAATAGCCACTGAGCTGAGGGGATTACAGCCACATCATCAGGGGTATTCAGGGTGAGGAGGAAGCATTTACCCTCCTCCTCCTCCTCCTCCTGTCATTTCCTCTATACGAGAGGTGGGGGACGACCTGATCAAGGCTTTTATTATTTGGGAAGAGATGACTCATCCGTGTCGCTCGATGTCACCATGGTCACCGCCAGACTCCAGCCTCTTCCTCCTCATCTCTCCTGCTCTCTTTTCTCTCAGTTTTTCATTTCATCTTCCTCCTCTGATGGTCATCTTGCACTCAAATTGTTTTTGACCTCCGTCTCTCTCTCTCTGTCCTGTTTGTTTCGACTGGTTTTGCATTTGTGAATCTCTTTTGGTCTTTATCCAGTCACCAACAGCCTTCTCTGCTTCTCTCTGGTTAGTTTTTTTCTTGTAAACTAAAAAACTCTTAGATTTTTCCTCTCCGTCTTGCTCTGCTTTAGTTGGAGATAGAAGTCCGTAGCTCAATGGCTCTGAATACACATACAGTCAAACCGTGGGTCACAGGATGGGTGGGATGTGAGACAAGCAAACTGCAAGTAAATGCCAGGCGCTCCAGAGTAACCATGGCAACAGCTTCTGTGCGCTACACAGCTGTAGCCTATTTAACTTAAGTTAAAATAATAGGCTACATAACTTTACCTGATAGGCCTTCATCTAGTTTTGCGGGGATGCTCTGCCATGTGAATTCCCTCCTGTTGATGTCCTATTCAGTAAACAGTAATAGATTCTGGAAACTTACAAACAGCGAGAATCAGTCTCAGCGTGATGCGATACAGGGACACTTGCTACTGAACAAAGACAGTTTATGCCAAAATGTTTCTGCCTGTTCAGAACATCAGAACAATACAAAAAAATAATTGTGTTATTAATGTTAAATGTGTTTTGCATTTTAGTTTAAAGGCCATTTTCTGCTGTGATGGCTCCTCCTAAATTAGGGTTGGACTGTTTGGTTCTGATTGATGACGTTGGTGCTGTCACTGAGGGCGCAGAGGGAGAGAAGGGAGGCGTGAACCTTCTCATTTTCTGCATTATTTGATAGAGATACAAGAGAGGGTTCAGGCAGGGGAGAGAGGGGATGACATGCTGCAAATCCCTGGGC